TTTTTTTTGTGGAACTGGGGATTGAACTCAGGACTTGCGCTTGCCAGGCAAGTGCTTATTCTACTGAGCCATCTCCCTGGCCCACAAAAAAGTTTTTAAAATTTGTTAGAAAACATTGTTTAGAAATAGTATCTGTCTTCAGGCCGGCCAAATAGCTCAGCAGATAAAAGTGTCTGCTTAACCCATGTGTGCTGTGCCGGTTAGTGCACTGAAATAGCGCATGAGACTGGACGTGGTGGCGCACACCTGTAATCCCAACACTTGGGAGGCTGAAAAACAGGAAGGATCTCTATAAATCCACTCTGTGTAAGGAGACCCTGTAGACCCTGTACTAAATACATTTAAAAAAATTAAATAGTATTTATTTTCATTTCCCATGAATTGAAAAAAAGACCCCCTCTTCACTGGGATTAAGAGCAGGCCTCCACACTGTGACTTAAAGGAAGTACAGATGGAAAATCAAAGAACATTCTAGAAATTTTTCAAGCCCTAAAAGTCATAATCTTTGTGCTTCCTGTCTTAGGCCTTAGCAAGAGCAGAAACCCCGCATAGAACAGGGTGAAGAAGCAGAGCCCTTGTCTGAGTTCCAGGGTCCCAGCCCAGCGACCAAGCCAAGAGGACAGCCCCGCCCACTCCCCCCCATCCCAGGACAAAGCTCAGTGCCTGTAGCCAAGTGCTTCTCTGTAGACCTTGAAAAAGGCTGCCCTTTTTCCAGGCTCTTCCGAGAGAAGAATTTCTGCCTTCCTGGATCCCTAAGGAACTGGAAACAATCAAGGAGCCAGAAGTGTTCCCAGCCCCCTGGGTTTGTAACTTTCTCTTGAGCCATTCTCACTACACAAGGTCAGATGGCCTGGGGTCAAGAAGAGGAGAGCTGAGGGGCTGGCCCACACCCTCTTTGTACTTTCTCTTCTCATCAAGACTCTAGATGAGCTCAACAATTAGCCTGAGGACTGACTTCCCATTCCTTCCAAGTCTAGTCTCCACTTTGCACCTCCTTTCCCTGCCGAACTCCTCCAAGGGCTGCTTCCACCCCACCCCACCCCACTCTTACAATCCCTCACAGAAGCTCCTCTGGAATGGCCCTGTCTCCTAGGCCTGCCACTGTGCAGGCGCACCTCCACTTCCATGAGTTTAGCTTTCCCAGCCTGGGCAGCCCCTTCCTTGGAAAGGCTTTTGATTGTTGAGACACCACTTCTGGGCCCTACTGCCCCTTTCAGGCCTGGCCACCTATTTCTCCTCTTCTCTCTGACCCATAAATGTCTGCACTCATGGACTGGGACTTTCTCCTCTCTCTGCTAGGTAAGCTCCTTAGTTCCCATGGACCAAGATGCCAGATCTGCCTTTTGTCCCACCTGACACTGGCAGCCCACACTTTCCTAAGCTCAGCCTACAGGCCCCTGGGCACTTATATCAAACCCTTGCTTCCCTCCAGTCCACTCACACCCCTTCCTCCCTGGGGACTCCCATCCAGGCTTATGCAAGGATCACCAAGTGTCTGGCCAACACCCCAGTGTCCCCCTGCCTCCCTCACCTCCCATCCCTCAGCAAGCCTACTGATTCCATCTCTACAGTACAACCTGAAGCTGTCCTGTCTTCCCTGCCACTGCATGAGCCCACATAAATCCTCTCTCTGCAAGACTTCTCCTGTGGCTCCCTGTATACTCAGAAAGCCAACCGGCCTCTCACAGGCTCTTAAGGACCTGGCTTGCTGCTCCGGCCTCACCTGGCCCCGCTTCCCTCCTGCTCACTTCACACTGGGCATATAGTTTGCCACACACGTCAGCAGCCTGCTTGCGCTGTTTCCACCACCTAGAATGTTATCCCTGACCCACTCCCCCCAGCAGCCTAATAGTTCCTTTAAATCTTAACTGAAATGTACCTCTCCCGAGAAGCCTCTGTTGACCACCCGATGTAGAACAGGGCTCTCTTATATTTTGTTTCTGTTACCCCAACAGCATGTCAGCTCCATGCAGAGAGGAGACATTTATACAGAGCTCAGTACACCGACTGGTATGTAGCAAGAACTTAACAGACACTTGTTGAAAGAACAAATGGCCTAGGGATCATGCAGTTCCCTGCAAATTCTAGGGGTGAACTTAAAGGGGAAAATGAAGCTCAGCTAGAGCCTGACAACAGAGTGGCTGAACTGACTTTGGGTTTGCTGGTTAGGAGAGACAGATAGGGCCCAGGCCACATGGTACCTCACCTCCCTTTTCCAGCGTGCCAGCCACTCGTCCCGCTTGCGCTTGCTGATGTAGTAGGGGTCCCCAGCCTGGAAGGTGAGGCGCGGCATGGGCCGCTGGCGGAGGCTGGACTCCCAGCCCAAGCCACCCCGCAGCCGGCCCCGGGAGCCCTAGGACAGAGAGATGGCAGAGAGACAGACAGGCATTAAGGTGGGCACTGATCCTCCCGCTGGGGTACCCCTCTTGGGGAGGAAACTGGGGACTCACCTCTAAAGAATATGGACATTATGGCTCTTGGCCAAAGGGGTGAGCTGGGAGTGCTGGGGAAGCTGTGTCTGGGCCAGGGGAGTGGGGGGCATATGTGCGTGCGTGCAAGGGCAATGGACAAGGGCTGTGCACAGCAAGTCTCTCCAGAGGGGAAAGAGCTGGCTGCCTGGCTGGGAAACTTCCAACCTCCACCCCACTTCCTCTCCTCACACAGGGATGGCAAAGAAGGGGCAGGGGCCCACCCTCCGGCCCCCCTCACACACTCGCCAGTCGGTCAGAGCAGTGGCTTTCTTCTAGAATCAGGATCCACAGAGCCCCTGGGGGTGAGGAAAACACTTGCCTCCGTTTTCACAGATTCGATGTTGGTCTCCTTCTGTTCTTTGCCTGTGGAGAGGGAAGAACAAGGGGACTGTTGGTAGAGTTACAGGGCTGGCTCAGAGGTCACATTGGGAACCTAGGTCCCTGCTACCACTGACTCAGACCAACGCCCAAGCAGAAAGAGAACTGGGCTGGACAGAAGGCCCGTGTACACAAGAACAGGCACAAAGTCAGGCTGAGGTCCCTGGCCCACTGGCTCTCAGGCACACACAAGGGGCCTAGAAATATCCCCCCACCAGTTAACTGAGCACCTCTCTGAGTAGAGAGGCAGGACATCAGAGGGGCTCAGTATGGGTGGATTTGAGAGTGGCAGACTTCAATGGCTTCCACAGCCCAAAGAAGGGGTACTTGCACCTGTGTAGGAGGTTGGAGAAGGTGTCTACCAGCATGGTATGTGTGCTGGGGGCAGTGGATACCCAGGCCCCTGGGACAAGGCCTTCGTGGGGCAATTTCATCTGTCTTTATCTCAATGTCCTCATTGGGCAGAAAGATGCTGGAGAAGGTTTCAGGGTCCTGCTACAGTTCTACATATCATGACCCTATCATTATCTATTATCCGCCTCTGGTCCTGTCCATTTGCAGGTGCCCAGCTGGAAATCTAGAGCCCAGTGATCTCAGGTTGACCTCCCAAGCCAGGTCCTCACTGAAACAAAGTTAATAAATGTTCTAAAATATGTCATGGGGCTGGGGACATGGCTCAGTAGAATATGCACTTGCCTGGCAAGAGTAAGGGCCTAAATTCAATCCCAGGTTCCGAGAAAAAAAAAATAGTGTCAGTGTGTGATTCCTTGAGAGCCTACAGCTCAATACAGGTTAGTGCTGTTCTTCCCGAAGGGACTCCGTGGCCCACAGTGTTTGCGTCCCTTGCTCCAGCTCCTTCCCAGGCTGGGCCCTGACTCCCAGAAGGGCCATCTGGCCTGGGGCTGAAGCGTCCACAGCTGCTTTAACAGCCCCTCCTCCTTGAACTTCTCCAGGCCGGAGGAGGGGGCAGGCAGGCCCAGCCTCCCCGGCAGAGGCCCCTCCCGCTCTGGCTCAGGGCCCTCCTGGGCCGGGCAGTCGCAGCGCACCCTCCTTTCACCTGGGCCAGGAACTCTTCCTCTGAAGCCTCGAGAGCAAAGAGCTGGGGCCAGAGCGGGAGGTCACTGGGGCGGCCTCATGGCAGCTTGCGGTGGGGGGGAGACAAAGCCCAGAACGGAAAAAACAGCCCCGGCCTCATCTCCTGGCTCTGGGGCGGAAACCACCCGCAGCTCAGCTCGCAGGGCTCAGCTCTGAATCCTCAGCCCCAAGGATGTTTTCCTGTCGCCAGAAGCGACCTAGCTCCTCTCTGCACCTGCCAGGGGCTTCACCATGGTGCTGTGCCCCCCTGAGCCCTGAGCCCACCACGGTTCTGCCCTGGGGGGCAGCAGAGGCAGTGACGTGAGAAGGGCCAGGCAGGCCCCATGCCAGTGGGCGGCGACCCCTGCGCCTGTCACTCAAGGGGGGGCGGCACGTGGGCGGGGAGCGGTGTGGGAGCGTGAGTGGGCGAGCGCGTGTACTCGCCCGCGCGGCGCTGTGTACGTGCCCAGCCTTTTAAGGCGTGCCTTACCCCGCGTCTGTGTCTCTTCCTACCTGTTTCCTTTACGTCTTTTCTCCCACCACAATCTGCTCCCCAACTCCTCATGGGGCACCCCCGGCGACCTCCGCCTTCTAGGCCAAAGCCCCTCCCTTTTGGACCTCTGCGTTCAGCTGGTGACGCCGGGCCAGGAGGGGGCGCCTGTTCTTGGCCAGGCCGCCTGCGCTGGTCTCTGCAGGGGACTCAGGACTCTGGGCTGCGTCCTAGCCCCAGCCTTCTTTGGTCCTAAAGGTTTCCTACCTGGAACTCCTACCCACATGGCATGTCACTACATTTACAGGGAAAGAGTCACTTAATTCATGAGACTGGAGGAAAATCAGGGCTGAAAGGAATTATAGAAATGGCTGAAGAGGCGTCCAGCCCCTCAGATTCTCAGCTAAGCTGGGGGAGTTAAGTACTGCCAGATCTGAGATCAGATTTCTGAGTTCCTGACTCTCAAGCCATCTCCTTTTCCAATGCACCAACATTATTCCTAGACGTTCCCCCGTCCTGATTCCTCAGTCTCCAGGCTCCCCCAAACAGAATGACTTTTCCTAATGCAGTTTCCAATTGGCTTCTTTCTCGAATTTTCTCAGTGGCAAACTGCGCATGCCCACTTGAGAGACATCGCACACGTTCCAGTCTCGCCCAGCAAACAACAAATCTGGCTGCCTCAGAATGCGGCACTTGTCGTGCGGCCGTGGTCGGTTGCTCGCTCAGTACTCCCTCTGCAGCCCATCTGCTCCTGGCCTAGGCCCAGGCCCAGGCCCAGACTTCCAGGCAGGGCCAGGTGGCTGAGTGCCTTCCAGGGTGGCCCTGGCAGGCTGAAACATGACCCCAGAGCATCTCGGGTCCTGGGTCCTGGGGCTAGGGCAGGGGCAAAGGAGGCCAGGGGCGCCTAACACTTACCTGTTGGTCTGAGTCCAGGAGCCATTCCAACTTTGGAATACTAGGAACAGGTCTGAGGACATTCCTAGCTCAGTACTGAGCAAAGAGCAGATCTGTGCTGGCCCTAATGTGGTCCTTTATTAGTTATATAGTCTTAGGTAATTTAATCTTTCTGAACCCTCAATATCCCCACCTGGAAAATAAGGATGAGTCTTCCTTATATGAAAACCAGGATGAAATGAGAAACTAGGGCTTCTCAGACTGCAACGCAATGAAAAATCACAAGGTTCTCTTTAAGGTGCAGTAGGTCTGGGGTAGGGTTTGTGGCCTTGCCTGAGTGAGGCAGCCACTGCTGGCCATGGGCCACTGTGAGGAGTGAGGATACAGCAGCCAATGCAGTCAGTGCTCAATGAGGGACCACGTGTTCCCCAAGTTACTATGACAGTGTTGTAACACTGCCAGGACTGCAAGTATTGGTCCCAAGTCAACACCTGCCTGTCTAGGTTCTGATTTTGTGTGTGCATGGCGTTGATTGAAATTCAACTCTAGCCCTTTGAATTTTAAGGTACGGTCTTACAAAGTTGTCCAGGGCTGGAATTTGTAATCTTCCTGCTTTAGCCTCCCAAGTAGCTGGGATGACAGGTGTGTGATACCATGCTGGGCTGAGTGCTGGCATCTGACCTTACTGCTCATCATACTGTCTCTCCTCTTCTGATCCTGTCTTCTGGCTATACCCAAGAGAATGCACAAGGCAGGATGCCCACACAACCAGAAAGTGTCTTACAGTTCCCCATTTTTGCTGTACAGGAAGTAACAGGACAATCCACCTGAGAAAAGCCCAATGAGGGAAACTGAAAGAAGACAAGGGCCAAGTCACTTCCTCCCTGAGGCTTTAGGCTCCTTCCCCATCTCAACCCACCAGCTGAGCATGCTCTCTGAGTCATCTGACTGCTAGAGCAGAGAAAGCTCGACCCCAGCTTCCAGCAGGCCCTGCCCCCGGCAGGTCGCCTCATCAGTCTCAGCACCCAAACACTCTGCATAGTGGCCTCTAGGGCTCCTGGCACCTCTGACTGGCATTCCCACTTCCTGGATAGCTGGGGCCACCCGGGAGTGCCCAGAGCCACATTACAGCATCTGTGCCTTCTGTGCTCAGCACTAAGATTCTGAGAAAGATCCTCCTTCATGTCTAAATGTCTCCAACTCAGGAATCACCCTTCACATCATCTCCTTACCTCCATTTCCTGGCTTTTGTCACCTCCATCCATCTCTGCTGCTGCCTCTCTGATAGGAGGCACCTGCTGTCCCTGCTGTCCTAACCTCTTCTCCCACTTCACCTTCCTGGTCCAGACAGTAAAGTGATCTTTGCACACTGCAGAGCCTATCAGGTCAAGTCTGAGATGGCAGCCTGCAAGGCCCAGTCCGGCCATCTGCCACTCACTATCCTTCATTTCCCCTGGTGGCTTCTAGGTGCCCTGCCACCTCCTGCCTTGGGGCACAGTCTCCTTCCACCAGTTCACCTTTTGTCTCAGACAGAACAGCCTGACCAGCTCAGGTTCCTCGTCAGGCTCTTTCTGGTACCACATTTCCCTACCCTTACATCACTCATCTCCACTCATGTTCATACTTTATTTATTTATTTTTTTGTAGCTAGCTCAGCCCACCCTGGGGGTGGGGCTGGCAGGGCATGTGGTGCCAGGGATCAATCATAGTCCCTGATCTTTGCCTAAGTTTGCCTAAGTAGGCACTTTATTTTTTATTTTTATTTATTTATATTTATTTATTTATTTTTTGGCGGAACCGGGGTTTGAACTCAGGCCCCTTTATTTATTTATTTTTGTGGTACTGAGGATCTATGCCAGTAGGACCCTGCACATGCCTAGCAGGTGCTTATGCCGCTGAGCTGTCTCCCCATTCCTAAGTAGGCACTTTAGACCACAGACCACTGAGCTATCTTGCTGGCCCCTGATCATACTTTTTTTTTTGGCAGAACCGGGGTTTGAACTCAGGCCCTTGGGCTTGCCAGAGAAGCGCTTATTCCACTGAGCCATCTCCCCGGCCCCCAACCCTGATCATACTTTAAAGTGTCGAGACTCTCTAACTGGCTGGGAGGTTCTGAAGACCAAGTACTGGGTTTCCCTTCATGATGGTTTCCTGAGGCTGGCATGGGTCCTGGCACATACTGAACAGGTGTCTAGTGAACACCAGTTGGCTGCGTGGAAACACACACAAAGAAATCCCACACTTAAACCTGTAAGGCTAAAGTATCCTTGGAGCCCTGACTCCATCCTGCCAGGTAGGAGGGACTGGCTCCGCCCTGGGCAGCAGTGTGGAGCACCAGTCTAGCTGGGCAGGGCTACTGGGCTAGCAGCTCTCTTCCTGCAGGCTTGACATTGTGAGTGAGAGGAAAGGTGTCACTCCTTTTCCTGTTTCACTCCTCCCAGGTACTCCCAACACTCCCATGAAACAAGAGATAGATACCAGGAGGCCTGGGCAGTTTGGGAACCACCTTAATGAGCTCCATCCCAGAATAGCAGCAAGAGTGGGAAGCAAGAAGGTAAGATTTAATGAATCCTGACTCTACCACGGGTGGCATCGGGAATCACAAACAAGTCACTTTACCTCTGCAAAGTACCTTTAAAATGATTAAGATAACAATACTGTGAGGGATTGCTGGGGTTGAACCCAGGGCCTTTGCACTGAACTACAGCCCAAGCCCCTTTTTTAAATTTTGATATAGGATCTCTCTAAATTACTAGGTTGCCCAGACTAGGCTCCGACCTGGGACCCTCGTGCCTCAGCCTCCCAGGGTGCTGGCATTATAGGCATGAGCCACCATGCCTGCTAATCATAAAATCTCTTCAATAAGACTGTTGGAAGAGTAAATAAAACAACAAATGCAAAGTGCCTTAGAAAGTGCTTTGCACATAGTGCAGCAACATAAATATTTGTTGAATAACGAATGAAAGATATTTTAAAATAAGTTTGGAAATCTCTTTTCTGGAAATGCTCTCTATTCTGAATAAATATTAGCTTTGGATCCATCCGACATAAGTTATGCCAATTAATCAATTTACCCATTCCATCATACACACTTGGAAGGAAGACTTTTTGAAATTAAAATGCACATATGCAAAACAACCTGGCAGGGCCCTGGGAGGATCAAATGTGATAATATATGAGGAAGTGCTGTGTAAACTGTGACGCCCTGTACAAATGCTAGTTGTCCTCATTACTAACTTGTTTACAGCTTGGTTGGCCCTGAAATCTCTGGCTTAACCTGAAAGAGAAAAGCAGGCAACTTTCCAGGACTGTGGGGCTGGGCCAAAACGTCCCCACGTGAAGAGGCCTGGGCTGGGCAATGCACAGCTTGCTTTCCTCCTCCCCACACAGCTGTCCATTTGCAACCAAATTTCCAGTGCAGTCAACCAAGTTATGGTGGCCCCAAGACCTCTGCCCTAGGGAGGCCAACAGGACATGTGTGTCCTGGCACACCCAGAGCAGGGACTACACATGCAGCAGGTAGAGCTGCACATTACATGGGAAAGAAAGCAGGTCAGCCTGGGGTGGAGGGCAAGTGAGGCACCAACCAGCTGAGGAGGAAGAGGGACCCCCATTATCCTAGTCTAGCAGCCCTTGGCATTATGCAAACCCATTTTTGCCAGGTCTAGCTTTTTTCTCCTCCACAGAAAGCCAAAACTCCAGATTTTTATGTGAAATTTCTTGATTTTTAGATTCTGGCAGCAAGTTTTTTAAATGTTTAAAGCACCATGAATAATACGCCAAATAAGCCATGTGTGCAGCCTGCATTCAGCCACAGCCGCCAGACCATTGATTTGGCAGGCAGACCTTGGGCTTCTACCCCAGCCTCCTCCTGGGACTTGCCGGAGACCAAGTCTCACGGCCTCCAGGGCCCACCTGGTTAGAAGAGACCACCCTGGACCAGGAACTCACCCTCTTCTGCAGGGGCGCCTCGGCCCTCCTTGGGTACACAGCAGCCATTCTCCACTGCTCTGGAGGCTTCCGATGGGGTCTCAGCTGCACCTTCTCCTTCAGCTGGGGCCCCACCCTTCTGCCCTCCAGCAGGGCTCCCCTCCTCTGGCTGGGGCTCACTCCGCTTCTCCAGGTCCCCATTGGGTAACAGCTCTGAGGAGCCTGAGTCCTGGGCCATGGCTGGGGACTTGGAGGTCGCAGCAGGCTCCTTGGGTGTGTCGCTGCTTTCCACCTAGAAGAGAACAAAGAGGGGCAGGAGGATGAGACTTAGGTCTTCACAGCCTATGGATCACAGACCCTCTGAAGTTCCCCAGAAGCCTCTGTGCTAGCAGATCCGTCTACAAGTTTGTGTTCAACCTCAGCGGACGCATGGGCCAGCATAAACCCAGGGTAAGAGGCCGAGCAGGTTAGCCGATGTGGCCCTATGCACCAGGGACAGCCCATCACACCCCACTCACTGAGGCTCTAGAGCTTCCAAGCATTCTCTGAAGCCCCTCTTCAAAATAACCCTCCAGGCCTGGGAGTCCGAGGGGGCCTCCTAAACAAGTACTCTCTGGATTCAAGCTGCTCAGGCCCAGGTGAACCAGGGTCCACACCACAATCTGCAGCAACCGCCCTGCATGCAGCTTCCACAGGCTTAATCCTGAGGTCTGAACGCATCACAGTTGAGCTAAGTCACAGCACCATCTTAATGCTCCTTGCTGTGTGTCCCCGCACTACAGTCAGAGCTCCTTCTAGTCCCTTGCCCTTGGGGTCTCTCTGACTCCCTGGAAAGAGGTGAGGAAGCTGAGGCTCTTGGAGAATTCTGTGATTAGCTCAAAGATGGAGCAAGTGCCAGACAGCCCATGCCCTTTGTGCTCTGACCTGGGTCATCTGGAGGACAGCAGCCAGAACATTTCAGGGAGAAGGGAGGTATTCAGCTCAGAGAAGGGGTGACCAGGCTCAACCAATGAATACTTAGTATCTCTCAAATATTAATTTTTCTATTATAAAAGTCAGGGGAAGGATGGAGAAGGGTTGATCAAAAGGTACTAAGTTACAGTTAGGGGTAAGAAGCTCCAAGGTAGCATTGCATGGTAGGAAGACTGACTGACTAAAGGTAACACTTATGTACTATACACAAGGGGTGGGTAAAATATATAGTGTTGAAATGTTGAGATTTTATTTTATTTTTTTTAAATTTATTTATTTTATTTATGTGGTGTGTGTGTGTGTGTGTGTGTGTGTG